CGATCGCGCTGATGCGTTTCTAACTCGCGAAAGACGCTCGTGGACTTCACCTTGCTATGCGGTCACGTCTTTTCCATCTCTTGGCCGCGTCACGCGTCAAGAACACGGTGACATTTATAGCTATTTATACCTATTGGAAAGGTGCGGAAGGAAGAAAATCCCCTCCGCGGCGTGCGTTTCACTATGAGAGGTGTATATTTATATACCTCGATGTGCTCTTATTTTTATCCCATGTGGCTGTGTTACATTATCACAGAAATTCCGATATCCGTGTAACATCAAGTTGCTTTATCGTTACAACATTTAATATTAACCATGTGTTAATATTAATCAAGATAATTCAAGATGATTCCTTATCCTCCTTTCGCCCGGCTGCTTTTCAACATATCTTATTTTACTTCTCATAATATTGTCATGCAATTATTCTTTTTCGATAATAGCTACATTAAATAAATAAAGTTATTATAAAGAGCTATAACTTCTTTTCTATTTTGATAGAAGACTCGCGTCAAAAGCGGTCAGTTTAAAAGAAAAAAAATTAACTGTGTTCTAAGAATTAATTATTATTTTATTCAAACACGGCATAAAAATGTTTGGCAAGGTGCGAGCGTGTCGTATGCAGAGATTAATCGACACCGAAATCAATTTTCACGGACGAAATGGAAGGCTGCGCGAAAATAATGTACATACATTAGAGTGCGAAGGGGCGCACAAACGGTCCCCTCTGCCTCGACTTCCTGCCAATTGCGGACAATTTGTGATCATCTATGATCTCCCCACTCACCGATGCCCGTCGTCGTCGCGTGAAACGCGTGTCCGTGTGGACGCGGTGCCTAAATGTAAAAGTTAACACGGCCCGATTCTCTCTCTGGCGGAGAGCCCGGGCTGTCTCTTTCACCGTTTCCATGTGCCGTATACACGTTCGCATTTGACGCGTCCTACGCGCTCATCTTCCCACGTGATGTAATCGAGAGGAAAGAAGCTCGCACGCGTGTCTCGCACGTTATCAGTCTTCCGGTGGTCGCATACGTGTACGGAATACACGGCTCTTCTCGCTTGTCGAGAAAGCATAATCTCGTTAAGCTGTAATTGGCAGTTTTACGTGTTAATCCTTTGTCCACGTCAAAAGTATCCCAAATTGCTATGATTAAAACAGCCAGACCATTTCATCTCTCGATTATCTTATTATTATATTAATTGTAACAATAAAATATGCTTTATTAGAATTTGCACAGGATTCATTAGTCACTTCGTGCGAAATGTTAGCGTAAGTAACGGACGGTTACATGTCGAGAATGTGAGCTGCAAAAGCTATAATTATGTCGCGTTAGAGCGGGAAGAATATCGAGCATAACGAGCTCGTTGAAGAGAGCTCTCTACAATAGAATGAGCTATAGTATCGTACTTATTACGACGAGATCTTTAATTTCCTGCTGCAATCGACGAATAAAAATGTCACGGTTACATAAGAATTACCGCCAAGTATTACGTGCGATAAATTAAACGCTAATCGTAAAGTGATATGTCGAGGCATGCGTATCCTTTGTCAAACAAAGCCACGTACAAACACGAATTCAGTCAGTTTAATCCCTCTCGACCCTTCTCCTCACGCATACGTGATCGGTTTCTTAAACACGGTATTAGGAAAGCCTTTTTTTTCGACCGACAAATCTGTCATTGAAATTCTTGCGCCGTTCTCCAGGCGTTTACGTGTCAATCCTTTTTAAAAAATAACATTCTCCTAAATACACTGTAGAAAATACAAATGTATTTAGGAGAATGTTATTTTTGACTTCTATATTTTGTATCTATATACATATATATATTTTTATTAAAAGTTAAGAAAATATCGAAAAGAGGTACAACAAAAAATATACATGTAAACTCGAATTCTATATATTTTATAAAAATTTTGTTTTATGGGCTATAAATATTCACAAGATTAATGTACAGTTTATGCCTAAGAAAAATAAAATTAAAGGCTCAATACGTCATTATTTAAATTCTTGCTGGGAGATGTAATTTGACATTAAAAATAATCGTATGATCGCAGACGCGGCATCACATATTCGTGGTCTACACCTAAGAGTCGAATGAAACGTTTCTGATTGTAGTAACCGTAATTTTACGCATTCTAGACCTAATTTCCAAGAATTTCAGAAATTAATTCGAAATCCAAGTTGTTTCACAATTAATAATTTTGAGCATGTTACGACGTATCTCATAGAAAGCCGAGCGGATAGTGTTGTAAAATTATTAAAGCAATTTTTGTTTGGAATGCGCACAATTTCTCACGAATTTATGGGCAAGGGTAATAAACCGAGAAGAAACGATATCTTCACCGAGGAAAGCGCCGATTCATTGTTAAATGTTGGCGCATGGGAAGAGAAATCGACGAGCGACCTGTTCGCACGATCGATCTTCTTGGCACTCGGGGATAACCGCGTGCGTTATCAGCATGTTTTCTAGCTTAAACATGGCTGGAAAAGTGCTTGCGATTTAAAGTGGAAAACTGGATGGAAGAAAGCGATGTCCCACATTTTTTTCCAGATACATGAGAAAAATCGCGAGACAATAAAACTTTCTCCCCATTGTGTCGAAGAGAGGACATGGATCCCAAGCTCGCTTCGCAACGAATTGTATCACGCTCGATCATTGCCGTAGATGAACTACCTCATTTGTAATTACCCATAAAATGTCATAAAAGATCGCAGTAAACTCGCATAATGGTCGCGGCCGTCCGTTCGAGACAATTCGTTGAAAACATATTAATCCTTTCCGTCGAGGTCTAAATCATCTCGTCGAGACCGATAAGGCCATGAGATACACACGCGACAGTATTAAACTGACCACTAACGCGATCATCTTCTAACACGATGCATTAACGGAGAGGAGACACATTTCGAATACGACCTTCAATAGTAATATTTCCAGATAGTTCTAATTCACACAGAAGCACACACGCATATTATACATTTAAAGAAAATATGAAAACAATATCTTGTATCTATATTTAGAATTACTTTAGTCATCTTTTTAATTTGCTCAAATATAATTCCCATAATTTCTTATAATCAAAAAGATCTTTTTTTCGTAAAAATATAAAAAAAATTGGTTTCCCTATATTTTTTGAGTTTTTACCATTGTATCTAATTTAATTAAATATCTACAAAATTAAATTAAAATTAAAAATGACATTGTATTAAAAACAAATGTTTTAAATTAATTTAAAGAATAACATTTTTTTATCTGTTTTCTCTTCTGAGAAAGTCTCGTTTGCCATAAGTTCTTTTTATTTAATTAGAGACGAGAGACGCTTTCATTGCACATATATCACGTTGAGAAAAAATTAGTCTCAATTCGGTCAAAGAATTCATGGTACAATCTGCTGAACATCTGTTGGCTTTACACGCTCGTATGGACTATCATAAAGAGAGAAGAACTTAATAAAGACGTAGTTACGCATTCGTGATTCTATTTTTATTGAAATGTAGAAAATCGCGTCGCCGCCGTCGATTACGCGAGTAATAAATGATGTCTGCGAACAATTATTCTGTGCACGCAACATTTCTCGTAATCGCGTAATTTTCCCCGCGCGTGCATTTACGCACCGTACAGTTATCGTTAAAACTCTACTTCGCGAACGCGACGCCGACCGTATCCAGGTTGTGTTTGTAAGCAGAAATACGTGGAGTTTCATATGCTGAATCCGCGAGGCGTTTCATAATTCCATTTCACCGGTCAAGACGCAAGTGAATCAGGTTCGCGTTTTATTAAGCAAAATTTTACGTTACAAAATCTGACTTATTCGTGCCACTGTCATGACACACAACGAAGTACAATAACGGTAAGTGACTGTTTCAATAATTAAAGCCCCGCGAATTGTCGCGATTTAAATTCTTAGAGTATATCCCTTCTCTTGGAGCACATTTAAAAAATCTATTTTTAATTATTTTTAGAATTTTTTCCAGCTGACATCACCGTAGAACACTTTTGTAAAATTAATTATTTGTATTTAAACAACGCTCGCACTACCGTGACGAAAATAAAATTTAGAACGTAATGTAATTAAAGGGAGAATGACAGAAGTGTAGACGAAACTTCTAGGAATCGTAGATTGAAATAGCGAAATGTAAAGGAAACGTTTAACTCTTAAAACGTCTTCTTTTCCGCTGATTCAATTTACGCTTCCTAGAAGCCTCGTTTAACACCTCTGTCACTTTTCCCTTACATTTGACTTACGCTCCGATTTTTATTTCCGCCACTGTGAGAAAATCTTAAACCTAACGTCTTCTGAAAATATAAGGTCTACGAAAATGGCGCGTTTAACGAGCAGAAATTTAAAACGGTAAACGAGAGAAAAGCAAATGTTTCGTGAAACAAGCAAAAATTTTCACGAACGTAATGATGCACTGCAGATCACTCACAGATGGAATAAAGATGCTCATCCGTATTGTTCTCTATAGAAAGCCCCGTCGCGAGCTCTTCGCCACCGAGTGGCTCACAAAAGTTCATGGAAAGCGCAGTCAAAGGTCGACTCGACTCGTAGCTTCGCGGCAGCTTTCGAGTTCGCGGATCGACTGCGCGGTACCAGGCCGCAGCAACATCCGTTTCTCCATTCCTCCGAGCTGATACCAGGTTCGCCATCTGACGGTTTGTGATACAGACGACACGTATAAATTACCCGTTAATTACAAAAATCAATCAAGGAAATATGCAAGATGTTTTATAACGAGTGTACAAAATTTCAATTATTGGCGCAGCGAAGTCATTTTGAGTGATAAATGCAATCACAGATTTTTATTTAAAATGAAAACTTAACACTCAAATTTTATCAATGTTCTATCAGCGTTATAATTAAGAAAATTAGGAACTTTATCGTTTAAGCGCAAGATAAATATTTTTACATTATAAGTTATGAAATGTAGTTCTGTATAGTTACGTAAATTAATTGCGTTCATAAGATTGTGAATTTAACTTACAAATAATAAGAAATAATGTTTTTAGTGAAAACTAAAATTTTAATCCGCACAAATTGTACAGCAATTAAAGGAACATCTTATAACATATAATCTAAATAAGTTCTATTTAACATTGTACCTTAATTAATAAGGTAACAGATAATTCAATATTATAATTTCTAATTTAAAAATAGTATTTTGACCAAAAAGCTTCAGAAACTAATTATACCTTAAAAATGCAGAAACTGATAATAAGAAAGATATAAACTATTTATAATGATAGAAAAATCAAACACTTTATGAGCCTCATATACAAAATTATACATATAACAATGTAACAAAAAAACCATAATATATTAAAAATCAGTATAAAGGAAAATTAAATAAATAATGTGTCGAACAAATTAACGTATTAAAAAAAAAAAGATTTTTCATTTCTGTTTCTTCAGACTTTGAGACGACTCTTCCATACAATCCAGCCATAATTGAAGTTCTTTCGTGGGCTCCGGCCTGCGTGTTTCCGGCTCTATATCGGCGATTACTTGCTCTACCGGAACTTTCAATCCGGTTACAGTTTGCCTGCTCAGTACAACGGCACGAATAAAATTGTCCGTGAGACTGATAAACTGTTGTTCTACATAAAAGTGTTTGTCTTCCCAGTAAATAAGCTGCAACAATGCAAATTGGATGGATTATTGCGCAAACGAAAAAAGAAAATGCAAAAAGTATCGATTATACCTTCGTCGTGACCTTGTACGGTGTAAAGATAGGAATCGCACGACGATATCGTATAGTGGATGCACCTTGTACAGCACTGCCGCCTCTTTTTGTGATCGCAGCGTAAATTCCTGATCTGTCATAAAAATGAAAACGCGCAAAATCCAATTCGCGCAAATATCGCGCGTTATTCATGTGCTTGAAGACCAGATCAACATCCTGAGTACTACAGATCCCTAAAACAAAAGAAATTCATAAGCTATATTAGTATTATTATTATAACAAAACAAAAAAAATTTCTGGTAGCTAAAGAATTTAGGCTTCCTGCTCAAATTATTCTCGAGATTAAATATAAACATAGATTAAATATTAGTTATAGATATATGCCTATATCATATATATGTCAGAGTATTTATCTATTGAAACGTAAATAATTTTATTTCAAATAATTTAGTTGTATAATTTGTCTAATCCAACTTAAATGAGTTTTATTGGCTGATAAAAAAAATTTTATATCTCATATTTTGTAAGAATATTTAATAATTTTTAATATTTGTAAGAATATTTAATAAATTTAAAATATTTTACATATTTTAAATTTATAAAGATTTCTAAAAATCTTTAAGTTTTCTTTGAAAATTATAAAATGAGAAATTTTATAGGATATTTCAGAAGTCATATTTTTCAGTACTGAAAAATATTTCAATTCGTATTAAAAAATCTGATAAATTTTCTAAAAAGTTATAAAATTAGAAATTCTAAAAAATTCTGAAATTTATGAAAATTATGTAGAAAATCTAAAAAATTACATAAAGAAATGTTATGAAAAGTTTTCACCAGGGACTTAATTGAAACAATCTATGTAAAGAAATAAACTCTTGGAGTTTATAACAATTATCACAAAAAACAACCTTTATGTATGTAACTATTAAAAGCCTTTCTACGAATGAATACTACAGTGTTCCGCAAAATGAAGAAACGCTGTGCTGGCGCATCTGTACAGTTATTTGCCGACCCACATAATGTAACTGAACATTACGAAAACATGCAGACATTATTCATCAATATCATAAATAATTGTGCATCAACTCTGGTAAATAACATTTTAATGCGTAAAACAAAAAATTCCCACGTCTTGTGCGTCGTAATAACACATTTTTATTATTACCCGTTTAAACGTGCAAGTCTTACTCGCGAGATCTCTGATCTTGATACAATGCAATAACAATGAAATATAACTTTGCACGATCTATATCTCGCTTCCTGCGCGGCGAATTATTTCATCATCTATAATTATTTCCCCGTGTTTATTGATACTCATCTCAAAATTTTTTATTCATTTTTTATTATTTTCTTACTACGCAACATTTTTATTTTTCACTTACAATTAGTATTATCATTTTTTATCTTTTAGTATTATCATTTTGTGCTTACGACGCAGAAAACGCCTTATTTAAACAAGCGCAAAAAAAATATAGACTCATCATAAATTAACCAGGTGATCTCTTCATACGCGATGTACTTATTTCAATGTAACGGAGTACGTTCTGAGATGAGAATTTACCGTAAATCGTTGTTGTATCGAAGAGCTTCTTCTTCTTCTCGAAAAGTCTGCCCCAAAGGATGGTGAAGATAATTCTCAGAAAATAGTTTACATCGAATAGAATGTAGAGAATGGCGATTATTGCCACGCAACAAGAACACAACATTATCAGCTTCTATTGGTGAATCTCTCTTGATATTTTAACAACAGCGACGAAAATACGTCGACTCGATGCACGCCTTTTCACGGTCGACGATAGACTGACCGTACAGATGACTCTGCAGTCTTGGAAGAACCGCGGTTTCAAAGGCGATAAAGAAAGACGCTTCAATACTTATCTGTCATGTTGATTGATCGAAAAATCACAACCGAAATTAGAATCGCAAATTAGAAAATTTGCAAATGAATGTACAGACTTCTAACAGAACGTCACGCTTAAACACGTTTGACATGATAAGTTTATTGCGCTGAAAGAAGAATAAAGAAATATTAATTACTCTGTACAAATACGTACTAATAACTTCAATTTATTTTATCTTTTTTCACTTGAAAATATACTCTAAAAATATACTTCTTTACGCAAAAATATACTTCTTACTGCATATAACTTCAATAAACAAGAAAATTTATTATTTTTTAATATTTTATCTCGCTGGCTAATTGGAAATTTTAAATAAATTAAGAAATTGAATCAAGATTATATTAAAAATAAAATTTTTCAGTTCATGTCTTATAAAATTTTATTAATTTTCATCGAATGTTAGGTAAGACACGACAGAGGAAATTGACGACTATATGAAATGTACAATATGTGGACTATCATCGGTGTTAATAAATCGGTGACCTTGTTAGTTCGCGAATTATTTATGCTTACGTGTGCGCATATCCCATTAGTTACAAAACGTGGTCTGCAGTCGTTACGAGCAAGCATAAAAACAGACTAATAAATTCACGAAGCAGGATAAAAATCACGGCAGTTTCTTCTTCTTCTTCTTCTTAGAAGAAGATCAAAGTTCTTATGAGACGACATGTTTAATAGATAGATATATTTCTTCCAATGTATAAAGGCACCTAATATATATATTACGTAAATACACAGGCATTCATTGTTACAATAAATATGTAACTAAATTAATATTTGTTATTTCCCTGCCGTATTCACAATCGACGTAGTTATGTACAGAAAAAAAATTTAGATGTATAGCATATAACATTAATAAGATATTTAAGTTTGTTACAGTTTTTGCTAACGTATTAAAGAGAGTATTCTACATTTTTATGTACACACAATGATAACATTCAATTCAACGTTAAATTAGTGCAAGTGCAGACCAAAGCACGTATGGAAAACTCCACCTCGCTTCTAATTCTGAGGTAATCTTTTGTTATTTAATGCAAAAATATTACACGTGTACAGTTATATAATTTTTTTAATGTGCACTATGTCAAATTATTATTTTGACATTTTAACGTAATAATATATTGATTTCTTGCGCTCAGATGAATAAAATATTATAAAATTTTATAATACAAAGGTGTAACAAAAAATTGTCATACTTTTCTTTGAAAAATGTCTCAAGAATTTACCTACAATTATTATCTCTTTCTAAAAATTTGCCTAATCTATGTTTTAATAGAAATAGGAAGAAATAATCGCTTTCCCTCTCTCTCTCTCTCTCTGCGCGCGATTATAATAACTATTCTTATTCCGCCTCGATTACGGAACATCAAGCTGGTCGTAGGCCGCTTTTATCATTTATTTCGTCGTATAAGGCCGCGCTAAATTCCCGCCTCTCAAAGGTAATTAAATACCTACATAAATTACGATTAATCGCTCTCATTACGGAATTCCATCCGAACGACATCCGTCGTCTGGCCACGTCCGACGATTAAAGTTGTGTACAGGAGATCGCATTCCGATATTCCGCTTGTTACACGGTCGTGGTTGTGTATATTGGTGCTAAAACGATGTCGCCGCTGGTCGTCGCGGCGTCCGTTTGTCAGCAGCGCGTCGTCATCGTGATCGGCTCCTGCCTCAACATCGCCGAGGATATCTCGTTACTTTCCATCCACCTGCTCACTTCGGGCGGCATCTCTGGCCGTACAGGAGATACCTAGCGGCACATTATGTCGTTTAACTTACCCTTCGAGATTATTTAATTAAATATAATCAATAAAATTTCTCTCGTTGGAGGAACTAAATAATGACTCGAGCAATCGCGACAAATATTAATATTTCTTCATTTCGCAACATTATAATCAACATGTATCTATTGTGATAAACACACTTCTTAGTGACAATTGAATGGTTCAAAATGATTTTTGCAGCGTTCTCCAAATAAGATTGTCATTAATTCCTACCTGCACTACACCTGCTTCGACATTTCCATTTTGCTTCACTCCACGATTTAATAGGGCACCAATCACAGTGTCGGCGCTACAGTTAAGAAGTCTCTGCCTGCAAATCGCGATTGCTCTTATGAAACCATCGCTCGGCGTGATAAATCGATGCTCCATGAAAAAACTCCTCTCGTCCCAATAAATAATCTAAAAAAAAAGGTTAACATTAGATTATGTAAAATTAAGTTAAAATTAAATTACGTAAGATTGCGTATTTTCAATATATATATTACGCATATATTATATATACATAATTAAAGCTGCAAATGTCCATTTCCAAATCCATTTTTTAATTATATAATATCTATTTTAATAGCAATTTTAATTGTATTTGTATTCTGTTTATTTGTCGCCAAGGCGATTAAAATATATAAATATTCTCTAAAAAGATTTTCAGTTAGTCAGATTTTATTGATATTGCATCGTTCTTTTCCAAAGAGTACACGTGCTTCTTAATTTTGAACTGAATGAACAAGCAAAAGAATTAATTAAAAGTGGACCGGTTTGAAACCTTGACTTCTTTACTTTGCAATCTCTTAAATATTCTCAATATCACAAATACTTGTACAATAACAAGTACAAGTAAACCGGTTTCAGACATTTCTTCTTTTTATTCTTTTGATTTTTACAATATTACAGTCATTTACGTAACAATATGGGCATAATGTGTGTATCAGTGAAATTTTTCCATTGTGCAACTCGTCAGTCGATAACATCTCGTACTATCATGTTAATATAATCTGATGCATCGTTATACTGGTTTGCTTAAAAAAAAAAATTAAAAATTGGAAATTTTGTAAGTGACCTTCCGAGATGTGATAGATAACAATAATTCGTCGAATTCACTGATTTTTGGATTTTACGTCACAATATCTTCACTGGATAAGAATAGGCATACTTCTCGTTTACCAGAATGTTAAGCTATTCATTAAGAATTAAATTGGAACTCAATCATTACCGTAATAATCTTGTACCCTTTGTTTTTTGTGTAAAGCAAGTAGTAAGTGTATACGATCGCTGCTCACGCATTTACTCTCTACCGAAGCGCGACCTTGTCTCTTGATACATAATTTAATACGTCTGTTAAGGACATTAAGGACAAGTCTCCCCATAAGGAGAACCGCTCGTAAGTTTCGAGACTGTGCGTCATACGATCGCGTGGCGCATTGCAATTACGAAATCAAAATAGCGTTTACTTTGGGATCATGGATGCCTTGAAAAAAAAAAATAACCGTTTGTCTATTGACGCGTTTGCTATTACGCATTCAACATATGCAACTCTTGGTAGACCGGTGTAACGATGCTTTGTTTTCATAACTAAAAGCCTACATGTTACTCTCGAGAAAAATAATTTAAATATGACAGAATGGTTTTTTAAATGAGCAATGTTCAGCGAACGTCTCTTGGAGTGTGGCTGTTTATTATTTAAAAAATGATATCTTAATTGATTAATTACATAGGTCGACAAAGGAATTTTTGTAAAATAATTTCTTAATTAGTACTAAGTCATTAATTACTTGTTGTCAGAGGATAAAAAAATTGTCAAAAACCAAATAATAAAAATATTTGTTTGTTGAAGATATCTACATTAAAATATAGAAATATTATCTTTCTTTCATAGAACATTTTTGGCTATACTATATACTATATATACATTTTTACTATTAAAAGATCAAAATTTGAATGAGTTTATTTAAGAAAAAATTTTAAAAACTACATATTAAAATTGAACAAAACTACTTTTATTCTAAAAAAAAATTTATTTTATTAGTTACTTTAGAATCTTGAATATTTTATTACAAAGAAAACATGGAATTCACACATTGAAATCCGATTATTCGTGCGCATTCTGAGTAATTTTGTCAAACATGAAAAAAGTGCTTACTTTTTTACACATTATATTCTTAACAAATAAATATTTTTACTATTTATAAGACTATTTTTTCATCCTTTAATAATAAAAAAAATCAATATACAAATTAATTTGGTCGGCGATATAGTTTTTATGACTAAAAATCTATTAAAGAAAACACCTATTCTGATTAAAGTTATTCGATATAATTTTTTTTATGTACTGTAAACTATCCTAAAATCGAACATTTTTTTCCTTGTGTCTATGTAAACAGGATTTTTTCTTCTGAAACATTCAAGCTACTACTTATAAGACGATTTTTTTATTTTTTAATAAAAATCAATATGTAAATTAATTTGGTCAGTAACAATGTTTTTTATGATCGAAAATCTATTTAAAAAAAAAACACCTATTAGAGTTATTCAAAATAACTTTTTTATCGACCTGTGCTATTATTGAAACATAAGAACTGTAAACTGTTAACAATCACACGTTTTTTTCCTTGTATCTACGCAAGCAGGGTTTTTTCCTCTGAAACGCATTCAAGCTACACATATTCGCATTTGATTTCCTTGAAGTACCTTAGACGTAATTTTAAAGATTGTTAGCGGTTTGATGAAACGCCTGTAGCGTATAGTGGCAGCTCCTTGCACAACGCCTGAACCTTGAGAACGAACCTCTCGATACAAATCGGTTCTCTCATAAAAGTCGACCCTCGCAAAATCGAGCTCGCGAAGATACCTTGCGTTGTTCATGTGGTACAAAAGCGCGTCTACGTCGTTGGTAGTGCAAATTCCTGCAAAAATTATTATAAAAGAATATTCAATATAAATGTAGGCTTAAATGAAATAAATCAATAATTAAGAATGAAGCTAATATAAGCCGACACAAGATGAAGTGTGTCATAAAAAAAACAAGGTTTTTTGATTAATTGTGTTTAGAAATATATTCAGAAATTATTTTATATGCAGTTTCAATACGTATTGTTTAGTTACTTTATAAGTTCATTACATGACCTGTTCACGTGTTCAATTTTATGTCATTCTATCAAGTTCAATATCAATGTTTTATCATTTTATTAAGTCATATATCATTTAATTTTTATTTTGACTTCACTGCTTAAGTGTTCTTCCGAAAGCTTAAAAGAAGTAATAATTTTCAATTTGGACAAAATGACTATGCTTGATTTTACGATTGACTCTCGTAACGTACTTATTATTTACTGGATATAATTATTACTGGTATAATATTTTATTATGGTAATAATATTTTACTGGTTATTTTGTTTTTTTTTCATTGTACTGAAAATGACTCGAACAAGAATCAAAACGTTTATGTTTTAAATTGTATTTATCTATTAATATATATTTTTTGTAATACACTTTCATCTTGTGTTGGCTTATATTGGCTACATTCCTAATTATTGAATTGTTGTATAATTTTACAATAAAATTGTATAATTAATTTTAAAAAAAATTGTTTATTACACTTCCTGTCTATTCCAATTATACTTCGTTAATTAAATCATGATCACATCATTGAGCAACTAAGATGTGAATGTTATATAAATGTAAAGCGGACACATTTACATGATGATGAGCGATATATAAGGCTTATTCTTTCCAGGTGAACTTTTTTACATTGGAAAAGAAAAGATAAAAATATTCACTTTGAAAAATAGATTTTAAATTAAATCTTAATGAGTGACATATATAAAAATATGATGATTAAAATTCAATGGTTAAAATAACAACGATTGCAATTCAACACTTCAAACTCGAAGATACGTTCTGTATAAAATTATACTGAACATTCCTCACATTCAAAGGACAGAAAGTTCAGTCTCTCGATGTTTTATACGTATTGAGACTGCGTATGAAATAACTATATTTCTGTGCGCAATTGATCAAAAGACATTGTTATACCTTATATAATGATTTATGTAATGGGACATAATGATTTTAAGACATTGTTGATTTTTTTTAACTTCGGACGAAGTTAAAAGAATTAGGGACGCGTAACTGTGGCCAAGCACCTGCATAGATATATATGTACGTAAATAAGTATATACGACAAATCGGTCATTGCATTCGCTGAAAAGCCACATATGAATCATTTTGCGAGGTAAACATAAATAGAATCGAATGCTACTAACTACCTACCGGAAAACGTAGCATATAAATTTATAGCGAATATTTTTTTTACGAGGAAGAGATTTTGCGCATTTTAAGCGCGTTATGGTGCGCAATCAATAGTCCGGATTTGTGACTTTCTACCAGAGCCGACTAATTCCGCACATGATAGGTCAAGGTTCATACAAGAGAGAGATAACCGGATCGTAAGGATTCCTAGATTATATCGTAACGACAAAATGACGTATATAAAAACTCTTCAATCTAATCATCTTTTAATATCTCGTTAATTAATGTCGAATTGTCGTGATCGCATTGTGGAAATTATTGATCAAATACAATTTTCTGTGTTTACTTTTACAGGCGTCGTTAATTAAATTGTTGTATTAAGATAGTCAATACTGCAAAGATTTATCATAAAATATAAGAATATTTTTTCATATTTCTCTCTGACATTAACATTAATTACATGTGTGTTTTCAAAATTCTTCTACTTGTTATTTTTCAATAAAAAGAATAAAATAAAAGGAATCCGGAAAAAAAACTGAATTAATTAATTGAAGATTTTTAACTAAGTTGTTCACATTAAAGAAATAAACTTTTATTAGCCTAATTAATTTATGCTATCAGAAATAGTCATAAATTTTAAGTTTTTAAATGAATACCAATACATGACGGCTAATGCATGATGTATGAGGTATATCGTTGAATGTTAAGCTCTTTTATATCGCAGCTGAGCGTATACATATCACGTACCGTAGATCACGGTTTCATCGAGAATGTGCACCCTTTTTTTGCAGTAGCGCGCGAGGAAGACGGTGAGAAACATGCGCAGGAAGTAATGAAATTCGAGGAGGCCATAAATGAGCACGATGGCCACGAAGACTCCGACCAGGACCCAACAAGTCATCATCCTGATAACCCTGCGATTTGTCGCTCTCCACGAAACTCAATCCGGCGGACAAGCGGTGGCTCTCCGGTCTTCGGGGGTGGCTAGACTTGCGGATATCCTCCACCGCCGCAACACCGCTCGCACTCGCAGTTTATCGATTCGTCTGGACGGTCGACGGCGCTCCACGTCCCGTCAATAAGAACGCAGGCTGCGCTCGCACCATTTCGAAGGATCGCGAACGAGCCGCAGCGGCGTCGATGGATTCATCTTAAAACGTTGATTGACGTCATTTTCCTTCCTTGATGTGTACCGACAAAAATTAAAGTCGCGGGCTTTGAACGTGATTTTCGGACGCGAGGCTTGTAAGACTAACAATAAGATTTAGCGATCGCAATTCATTCCGTGTCGTGATGAAGACTAATATCTCTGTTTACGATTGTACACTCTTATAATGAATTTTTTACGACATGCGTGTTACAAATGTTAAATACTAAAGTTGTAGCTTAACGCGCACATCAACACTAACATTGCGTACGTGGAGCTATTATACGCGTTATCAGCGCTATTGTGTCATCTTATTTTTTTTAGTTCATTAGACACAAGGACATGTTAATAGCGCTGACAGCATATTCCCCGAACGCAGCCTAATTTGCCTAAATAATTTTACTGACAACTGACAATCGACTGGCAGTTATCTCTACTTCCACGAATTCACATCAAAATAAAATATATAACGCCGACAATGTTAATAATTAAATATAATTGGAAATCTAATTTTTTCAATATTTGCCAATTGAAAAATTTCGAAGAGACAAAAGCCACAACGTAATAAAATAACAATGTGAATCTTTTCAATGCTTGTTAACTGAGAAATTTCAAAGAACTATAAAAGTCACAGCATAATAAGAAGCAATGTGCTGTCAGACACACATGGCTTTAAAATTTTAAATAATTGTCTAACCACTTTACGACTTATTTGTCAAATCCGTAATGTTACCGTAGAAAATTTCTAAGAATTCCTAACGTTGAGAAAAAGGCGAGTCAGTCGAAAGAATAGCACAAAAAAGCATGTGTGCCAAGTGTGGATTTACCTTGTTTAAATAGGGGAAGAAAACTGAATCGAGCGCACGATTAGCGTCGGTGTGCTAATCGATCGTTTCTGGAACTGGAATCGGTGAAGGAATCAGTGAAAAATCGGACGGGATGAAGCAACGGAATTTTGCACCACACCGCGAGCTCGCTTTCGATACTTTCGCGTTTATCGTCGTATTATCAGGCGGGACACGTTCTCCCCGAGCTATCGCGCCGCGCGCCGCGTATTGTGTCTTCTAAAAAAAAAAAAATTTACCGTCTACACACGAAGTCCGTGTCCTTTTATTTTGTAATATTCCCGCACAGTGTGTCACTCTTTCCCCGAGATATCCCGTATCGAACGACACTTACAAGATCCTCGACGATCCTCCGGTAGATTTTACGAAGAGGGCCCGGCTAATCCTCCGGCAAAATCTTCCGAGACTGAGGCATCTAGACCTCGGGTACCAGACGGACGAGTACGCGGAGTAATTGATTCACGCCGGTGCGCGCACACCGTCCGTTGGTGGAGCTGGTCCTATCCTGCCAATGACATCTCGCGCACTGATGATCGAATCGTCCTCGGCCGGCCGCCGTCGCCGGCATCGAGAGAGAAGTCCCTTCCCAAAAGCCGCATCTGCGCCGAGGACGTCCAACTAGGAAATCCGCCTTAAGTTGGTGGGAGGCACAAAACGGCTCAGAAAACTCATCGGTTAGCAAGTTTTAACATATAATTGATCTGACAATAAAAACCGTGGAAAAAGCCCATTCAAATGCTAATTTGCAAAAACTAAAAAGAGTGAGATTGAAATCGGCTGCTCGATTCGCACGCCGATGATGACGCTATAATAATCGCGCATGCAATAAGGATTGCATTTAAGAAGGTATAAGAAATGACATCGTGTTCGCGTTTTAATCTCTGACATTAACTTTAAATACTGCTTCGAATTTGTTTAATTATTAATGAATACTGTAATAATATTTTTTAATGTGATATTACATTTGATATTCTTTTTACAAAGTTTTCTTTATTGCACCAAGGATTTTTTGCGCGCAGCGCATTAATTTTTTTTCTCGTTCCATAATTACTGCTAAATAATGAACGATAAATAAGTGACAGATAAGTACATAACATTGTACATATATGCACATACATTAAATGATTGTATTTCTGAATAAATTTTTGATGTTTAGCATCATAAATGATCGAATTTTCGCTATTAAAAATGTTTAAGTTAATTTTATGAGTAATAAATTACCGAATTTATCGATTAAAGACTATACTTGTCAGCTTTATCATGATGATTTTATCATGCCGCTTCCGTTGACATCCTTGAAAAGTTTGCGAGGTATTGCGAGATTATCACCAGGCAATATTATCGATAGAAATGCAAAGCTTTGCAGAATAGCTCGGCGTTCCGTGTTTGCCGAGGGAAGTGATGTTTGCGTTGTTTCATAGTAAAATGTTAATATGACAAAAGATAAGAGAATACGTTCCGAAATCGGATGTAAAGATAAATACAGCGGAGCTATAATGTGTATTACAAAAAAAAAAGAGTTGCATATCTGTATTTCCTCTACGTGTTTTTGTACTAATGATTTATTAATAAAAATCATTAATAACCTTAATGATATACCGCGCTAAAAATAGACCAATAAAAGTGGAAATAAAAGTGAACTATCTATTATATCTTTTCCTTATAACCAGATATTTCGTATAACTTAAAACTTTCCGCTAATCGCGTATTTTTCCTATAATCGTATATATATATATACACACGCGTGTATTTATACACATCTAGACGAGACGCGTCGCCCAACGTGTGTATGATACGCGTAATTACTACGTATATATACTGCGATTTGATTAACAGTCGTTTGAAGGCTGAGCATGTACAGACGCTAATATTACGTTTCGGGCCTCGCATCGAGGAAGTGCTTTCGTGCTGATGTTTTATGGAAATCGCGTCTGAGGCGACCGGCACGAATTCGTCGCGAAATCGCGAATGAGGAAGAAGTCATGCGTCGTATGAGAATTCTCTAAGTTTATCGCTTCTTTCTTTTTCCGTCTGCGTAAATAATTCTATATAATATATCCTGTGATGGAAAACAATAGGTCATTAAAGATCCACGAATATAAACATAGCTTCGTCGGAAATACTAATACCTGTGATCTGAATTTTGAATTCTCTAAATCAAAATTATAAACTACCTTTTTCTTGTTTAGTTCTGTTGGTTGTTTCAAAAGGAAAGGTTTCGACCGAAAAAAAAAATATTGACATTTAATGCTTCATTATTTTGTAAAAATACATGTAAATAAATATACAAGCATGCAAAAATATTCTGTCATTTAAAAAAGGTAAGAAAAATACTAGTGTCATCAGCTGAAAAATTACGCTCTGCCTAAAGAGTGGAGATATTCGTTGACGAAAGGACTATCGCCCGACTCGTATCGGCACAACGGAAGATCGTATGGAATCGGAAATACCGGGACGGCTGGATCCTCCTCGTCCTGGATGGGAAACGTCGTTGTCCCAGTCTGAATACATACAAACGAGTTTGAGATGTAATAATATTAATCAGAATAAAATATGCGCCTTTAATTTCAACGACATGTAATGATTAACAATGTAAAAAATTATAAAGTAATATGATGCTTACGACAAGTTTTGGTATGAATACAATGCCGGCCTCGTAGTTCATCATGTAATGACTGTTTCGTTGGACTCCCCATGCGGCCTTGCTCAGATTCGCGCTGGTGAGCACAAACCAAGGAATGCTTTTCAAATCGGGCGAAATTCTCGTGTAGGATTTAATATGAGGCATCGCACGATCTCGTCCTGTTCGCTTGGCTTTCCATTGGCTATAAAAATAAATATCAAATTTTGTAGAAAAAACGGATCGCTTCTAAAGTGCAAAGACATATATATATATATATATATATAGGCATAAAAATTTGAATGAAATAAAGATAAACGATTATAACTTACTGCAAGTACGATTCTATCCACTGTTGCTTAGAATGCACTTGTGCGCTGTAGGGCAAGCAGCAAGATAAATTCCGACAGTCAAAGCTCTGCTTGTAATTCTGTATCGACGGGTAAATAAAGTGGAAGTGCGGATGACTCTTTAAACCCTTAGTAGTCTCCCTCGACATACACGGAATTATGTCTCTCGACAACCAGCTTTCGAAGTTCGGACCGAGGCTGCCTATGCTGGAACTCTGGGCGACTATAGGCCACTGAGGGGCATCTGGCGGTAATGTGGCATGACGCGACAGGACGTGCGCCAATTTCTTGTGCCCCCAGAAATCGGCTTCGTTGTCCTTGTGAGACGTCCCGGGAATGGAAGCGACGAGAAACACGTTCACGTCAGAGAAATCCGCCCTCCGTACTGCCCATATCCATTGCGTCAGAGCTGGATGCCTGTATTTACTCAAATATCGCTCGAGATCCTTTTTGAAACCCGTTGGAGATTCTCCGTCACTGGGATTCGCGGATTCTGGTAGCAGGCGCAAGTGAGGCGAGATCCACAATCTGATCAGGACACAATAAAGAAAGATATTTATGGACGAACGTCATACCACTAAGGCGTATCTAAGAGTATTTAGACAGACCCTTGTGTCCTGTTTTCCCAGTCGTCAGAATACAAATTGGCAGTGGAGACAACCACCCTGATCCCATCATCTTTGTACTGCAGGAACATGATCTTCGTATGATGACAGCCAAACTTGGTCGGCATGTCTACTTTTATCATGGTTATGTTGCTACTCAATTTCTCATGATCCACTCTGTCGCCGTACAGAATCATCATGTCAGTACGTTGGCCAGCCAACAGATACTGCAGGCACAACCACCCGACGTCTACCATGAAATTTAAGTGAAGACTGTTAACAATTTCTCCAAGACTACGGTCGAGAATCTCAGGGAAAGTTATGGAGAACTGTTGACTGTAGGTCTCCTTGGAATTCTCGACTCTCGTGAAGAATATGTGGTAAGGTGCTGAAAAGGCATATTTTATCGCAAACTCTCCTGGCTCCACGACGGACACCGTGTACCCGGATTGTCTCATCATCTGAATGGCCCTCTTTCTGACTTCCTTTCTTGACTTTTCGGAATCGCAAGCTTGGTACATATCCATAATAGACGTTCCTGAACTTTTATCTTGCTCGCTGCTCCTAGAACTGCATGGAGTGTCGCCGATACTCTGCCGATCCTTAGCGCGATTGCTGCTTTCTATGCTCATCTGTTTCATCTTTTTTGTAACCGAAGAGCTGACTTCTGACGTCTCCAGACTTCGCTTTTTCGTCTAATGAAGCAATTTATATTTATTTGTTTATTTATCTTTCGCAATTTTAAGGTTACGAATTCATTCCCAATTTTACTAACCTTGATGCTTTCCGAATTCTCATGTTCCTCGCCGCTCAAAGCTCTAGAGAGTGCCTGAGCTTCTGCATCCATCTGCTTGAGTTTATCTTGCCTCCTCTGTACTGCTGTTTTCTTATGTCTCTCCACTTTTTCCTTCAAGTCTTCTTTAGTACTCGACGTAACGGTAGACGAAGCTTGTGTTTTAGAAGATGAACAGCCAGTTACGGACAGCTGATTGTCCTTGCTTTTGTCTCTCTCCTTTCTGAGCACCATTTGTAATACTTTCAATTGATCCAACAATTGTGAACGATCGTTACACGTGAAGTGAAGCACCTCTGGTATTTCTATCGTACCGTCCAGCTGATCAACCAATAATTCCTCCACTGAAATTTTAATCTCTGATAATAATGTAACTTCATATAAAATATTGAAGGATACAAATAATCGAAAGATACTTACAATGAGGATGTGACATTTCGCTGAAGTGAATCGGATTTTTCCGATAACATTTCTCCATAAATGGACAACACTTCTTTTCTGCAATGTCAAATAAATAATCTTATTAAAAAATCCGGAAGCTTGAGAGGTAATAATCGGCGCCAATAATCGGCATCACCTATAGAATTCATCCTTGTAAATGAGATTCAGTATTTTTCAGCGAAATAATTCACACAGGAAAGGTCTCGTCTAACTTTGGATTTCTTTATTTCTTGTAAATAATAACGTTCTGCAAACGTAATCATACAGCATTTAACGTTAAAGAAACTGCTAAATAATTTCGCAAAACGTCAAACTCATCCTAGAATCCCACGAACATATGGGAGAAGCGTATAACACGCCATCTGCATTCGCTTTGGAGCTGAAACTTCATAGTCAACATTGTAGATAAAATCGTCATTTTATCCACGCGCGATGTAAAACACCGCATGATTTTATTGACAATTATATTTGTGGATCAAAAATATGAGAGAGAACATGATTTTTGAATGCGCAATTTTTATCGAGAATAAAGCACCAGCAGTCTCGAAAGGTAAATGTAGCACAGACACGCACCACAAATTGCATACCCGCGGTGCAGTAAAGTTAATGTTATGTAGTTTACCTTCAGGGGGCGTTAGAGTGCACGAGGGGCATTTCGAGGTAATACGCAAAAGGCCGGCCGCGCGTCATGTCGTCGTCCTCTTTCGGGCAAGAAACTTTCGAAAATTATTTCAGACTTCTTAATTCGATATCTCGAACCGCACGATTCACTTGATTTTATACTTCTCTTTGGCAGTGAAAAGGTGAAAAATGTCAAAATCAAAATCTTTCACGTGAACTGTAATCGAAATTCGCGCATCGCAATGACAAAAAAAAATAGTTTGCATCGTGATATGTAAATAATGCCCGACGAGAGATTCGCCGCCGCCGCAAGGCACATCGTTCCACCATTCTGTCGCTTGAAAATTACAAGAAATAGGTAAATTAAAAATATATATTCGAAATTTTTTTGCGAATTATTGTTAAACTGCGAAATGAGGAAACGTCCCTCCGATTGCAATACTCGATATCACACTTGCGTTTTACAGAGACGCGTGATTTCGGCGCGTGACGATCCCGTTGACGCGGTTCAGGCATGGGCGCGTTCCTCGAGAATCCGATGTTCCTCTTCGTGGACGACGCGGAACCCATTTTGCCGATCTTCCGGTCCACCGAGTACGGTGATACAGGCAGGATTGTGGAACTAACGGATGTCGGCTGCGACACGGAAACCACGTTTCCCATACATTTTCCACGCGGCGCGTTTAACCGGCGTCGCGGTGGAGCCGAGAGTCTTGGATCGACTCGCGGAATCGCTAAACGACGGTGGTTCAACGACAGACCGAATGAATTTGCCCGGAGAGCAAATAGAAACATAAATAGTAATGAAGTAAGCGAATACACGGTCGAGGTTTTCAACGAGCCGACGCCTCAGATATACCTTCCAATAAATCATAGGGCAGTAATTACGTCCGAGGGAAAGTGCGACGAGACTATCGCGATTACGATGACACTTCTGATCTGGATTTCGACGACTCGTATGCGGAGAATTCCTATGACGATTTCGAGCTGAAGAACGATCTCGCTGTCGAGGAAGATGATAACTACTATATCCAATTCGTTAGTCCACAAAATGCGGTCGTGCATTCTCGTGGAGAACGTACCTCGCGATACGATTACTTGCAGAGAAATCTCGAGGCTCCATTTACGCGAAGTATTCACATATCTCAAAGGAAGAACACTCCGCGATGGTTCGACAGCGACGAGAAGAATCTCCGTGAAATTCACGATACTGACGTTCAATCGAGCGAGCGCAGGAAACGAACAAAGACCCTCTCGAGAACCAATGGAACCTTCGATCGTGAGACGGGTACGTTTTGTTTTTTTTTTTAATAGACGAGTGTAGGAATTATGGAGGTCCTATCTAACATCAACGAAAAAATCTCTATTAAATCCTTTTAATTTCCATCATTGATTTCTTGCAGAATTCGAGCAAACTCGCGAAACGGCGATGCACCGCGATGACCTTCCCAACGCCGTTGATACCGTCGCGCCTTCGAAAAATAAGTTCTGGGACTTTATTCCGTTCGAGAACAATACGAAATATGAGGAACCAACTTTTTACGATCCAAGAACGAGAAATCATGGTGGGTTGCAGAAAATGACGCCGCGCAGAAGAAGATCATATGTCTTTGATTCTCAATCGAAACGCATAAATATTGTTGACTCGGAAGGAGAAGAAGAATTTAAAGAGACGCTGAACAAAGACAGCCGAGAAAACTTATCGTCCAAGATTCCGATAAACAGCGCGAAGCATCGAACTTCGAAAGGCAACGTGGTGAGGGAGAAGATTTTGCGATTAAATACATCAAACGCGATTTCTTCACGCGATCACTCAAGGATGCCTATCGACGAACAAATTTCAAACATGTATCCTGCAGAAAAAAGTAAGAATTATAAAAAAAAAATTTTTTTTCTCCTTCTCTCTTCCCCTTTTATATTGACTCTCTTTACCGACCATCATGTGTTGTGAGAGTAATTCACATGGCATCGGCAGATATACAATTACATAATTTTGTTCACTTTAAATGCCAAATAGGTTTGCTTCTAATGGCAACATATTACATTTTTATCAATAAAAAAATACTACAGACATCGTTCCTTCGGCAAATATTTTTAAAGTCTTGCAATATTTTTAAATTGATTAATTCTTTCATGATGTATGTAAAGTAGTAGAGGAAAATATATTAAATTTCTTTATTTATTATTAAAATAATTAAAAATAATACAATATACTGAAGATGTTTTTTCACAGTGCGTTCTTTGAATTCTTAAATACGTCATATTTATTTTGTCTTGTATCACGTACGAGACACAAATAGATGAATATTTAGCTGATTTATTTATTTACAAATTACGTTTTTTTTTTAGATTTAATTAATACAAGGCCGCATTCCGCAACCAAAGGAAAGAAGAATGAATCTCCGACAATCGAGAGAAGAGAGGAAATCACGAGCGCGACCGTCGACAATCGTCGGTATCGCGACAGATTTGTCAACAAGCTTTCCAATAATTCTCCCCAAAAAACAAGTCGAGCGACAAAAATGTTTAATCGCGTCGCAGACTCGACGAGCAACGGACGGATATACGCGGCGAACGAAAGAGATAACTCGACTTGTCGTCGCGAAAATGCTGGTAACAATAAAACGGATCGGATCAACGTAACTGTCTCGCGATTGGCAGCCGAGGAGAAAATACCGAAGAACGAGAGTGCATTTGCTCTGAGAATGACGGGTGCTTCCGCGCCGCGTACGGATACAGAAAAAAAGGAGGGAAAATTCTTTTCCAGATTACCCGTTAGAACGTGGAAACGCCTGAGAACAAAAGAACCCGCCGCGTTGCGTCCTGAGAGCGACGCAGCGAGCGAGGATATTAACCGAAAGTTTCAGGCAGCGGAAAACGAGGCTGCGAGGTCGAACGATCGTCCGGAGAGGGTGGAAAACGATGACGTCCGCGGAAAAGATCGCGCGGCCGCGAATCGCAACGATGTGAAACGGAGCGGGCGTTTCGAGGCATCAGGATCGCTCGGTTCTGATAAACCAGGATTAATCTCCTCCAATTTGAAGAGCATAAAAGGAATCAAGGACTTGATCACGGCGAGGGGGACACTGCACGAGCAACAGAAGAAGAGAACGAGCGGCAAGTAGAAATCGCGAGATATCTCGGGATGAAACACAAAATATAATTTATAGATTTATATCTTCAATCGATGTCTATATTAAAGCTCTAATCTAATCTTTCTCGATCTATATTTTGCAAATGACAATCGCGTGCGGTAGGAAAAATTAAGCGACACGATTTGATCGCCCTCCTCGACGGCACGGCCACCTTTTCGTTTCGTATATCGTTCCGTCTCTGCGCCTCGGTCGAGTAAGGGAAGAAAAGAAAAAAAAAAGAGCGGCTCGATTGGGAACACGTAACCGCATGGAACGAGACGCGCATAATTGCGCGCGTGTAATGGGGCCGTTGGGTTACCTCAAAAGAAGACCCCTCCCGAATGATACCAATTATGCCATCAACGCACCACGCATCGCACGCTCCCCCTCCCGCTGTCGACGATTCCCTCTGTCACAGCACAGTCAACCTCGCCCGCATGTCACAACCCCCGCTTGCGTAACCACCCTAAAGTGGAGCGCGCCTCGTATAATACCGCGTCGCGATTCTCGCTGCGGGGTCCGTCGCGCGCGGCGATCTCGGGATCGGGGTTAGAGCGAGGGAGAGGGAACGGGGAAGAAATATGTAATTGTCCATATTTACCCTTGCACCCGGCGGCGCGTACTCAAACAACAACATGAAACACCCCCACAAAAGATCCCCCCCCCCTACCCGGAACAGACGCGACGTCGGATTTAATCCGGACCCGCTCAAATATTTTCGTTCTACTTGCTTCGCGACGGGTGCCACTCGCTCACTCAATCTATCCCTTCAAATTAACTGTTTTATACTAATTAAAATTTTTATTTATACCGACGGAAACGATAAGCGCGACGATAATATCTGTTCTCGTTTGCAATATCGCGGAGTAAAATTTACTGAAATTATGCCGATCGGCGCTCTAATTTCTTACGTTTCATTATCCCGATCGGAAAAACAGAGAGAGAGAGAGAGAGAGAGAAAGTGACGACGGGAGAAGCGCTCGCGAAAGGAGCCGGCGAGTCGCCCCGCGCGCGGGCGAAGCCGAGCCGCCCAGCTGGAGGCGGATAATCAAATAAACCTGCACGCACCGTATAAATTATCAATCAGGGCGCGATTGTGCAACCCCAACAGAGGGAGCCATCCGTGTCGGTAAGGGTTGTTACATCGACGTCGCCCACCGAGGGCGAGGGGAGGCGAGGAGAGGACGACGACGGCGGACGTGTGTGTATGTATGCGAGCGCCCGACGACGCTTGTCGCCGTCGTGTCGAGTGACCCCCGCGTTAATAGTTATCTTCCCCGCGTGCGTGGGCGTGCGTGAACGTGAGTTCACGCCCCGCAGTCCCGAAGGGGAGAAGAGGCGCCGAGGGACGGCGCGTGCACGTGCGAGGGAGAGAATCGCCGCCGCCGCCGCCGCCGCCGCAGTAAGGTGTTTTTGTACCGCGCCGTTGCGTGTGCACGTGTGCACGAGATCTCTCCGCGGATACCGCGGTCGCGAAGCCGAGAGTGCGGCGTCGAGTTAGATTGTCTTCCTGCCGAGGGAGAGACGGATGGAAATACGACATGGGATACGCATCTCGGATTCCGCGTCGCTTTCTAAGGGCCCTGTTTGCGGGGATGGCGAACGGGGGGATGATATACTGACGATTAGGTATCTCACGCACGGGATTATCGATCGCGCCGTGCGATCGTCCGCTCTTGCGATTCGCGCCACGCGAGTTTCACTTGCGCTCGAGTTTCCTCCGGGAGTCTCCCCCCGTATATAGCAAAATCCCTCGTTCGGGCACGTAAAGGAATGTTTGTTACATTGACGAGGCGCCCCGATCACGCACGACGGGAGCGAGAAACAAGCGTAGCGGAGCCAATTAAGCGTTGTGGGGGGGGGGGGGATCAACCGCCCCGGATGCCTGCGGGCATCGACGTATCGAAATTAATCGGCGCGTCGGCTAATTCTTCTCAAGCTCACCCGCGGGATATTCCGCTCTGTCCGCGTATACAGGGTGTATCTTGGATTCGTCATGGTACTTAGCTTCACCGATTTCATTCATGCCTTCCATAATTTCGAAGCCTTTCCTCGGAAAACGTCTCCCTCTCTCTTTCTCTCTGCCACCGTCATTCTCATCGATCGCGATCGGTTTCGAGGCGATTTCGCCCAAAGCGGAGGCATCTCGTCCGCGCGATTAGGGGATGAAGAATAAATAATTCGGGTCGCACGTTCCGCTGTTCCGCGAAGCGGAATGCACCTATTAAGCGGCGCGCGGCCACGCGCCCCCGAATGGAGAGAATCCCGGAGGGAGGCTAAATAGTTTTCTATAGCCGCAGGCAGTGCCGCGATTGTGCATCGGGCCGTGAGTCGACGTATGCACGTAATATGTACGTACGAACGTACGTCAAAAACGCGATAGGTACCGTTCGGCGTTCTCACGTTTCGGCGTCAATGCGCAGATACGATCATCGGGTGAGCGCGGCAGCTATATAGGTATAATATATAATATACTATATACCGCGGAGTGGTAAACACCTCGACGACGAAAACGATAGTGGTAGCAGTGCCGATCGGGTCTCGCGTCCGATAAATGGCATCGATAAACGAGAACTAGGGGATTCAGATCTGTTTATTTATCGCGACCCGATCGACGCGCCCGGCGGCGACCGTTTCGCCTCGGCCGGTCGCGCGTAAATGGCCGCGGGCCTTTATTTAATAAGTTGTTATAAATTAAAGGGCTACCGCATATTAAACCACCCTCTCGGCATATTTATAGTCATTCTTAAGAGAGCGTATATACCGGGCATACGGTAATTGTAAATCATCGGCCGGCTCGGTGCGCGCCGCTGCGCGCACGCCACGCACACGCACACCGAACGTTGTATTCGGGCCTCTTCCCCTTCCCCCCCCTCCCATCTATTTCTCTTCCGTCTTTTTTTTACGCGAACTCCCTTATGAATTTATCTTCGGCGATGAAACGACAAACGGTTTTAATTGCCGCTTCGGGCATCGCGCGCTCCGACGACGGAGCGATCCGGCGATCTCCTTCGCGGTTACTCGTGCGATCTCCTTCGACGTTGCCTCGGCGCGTCTTGTTATCTCCGCTTCGGTTCGACGACGATAAGCGCGTTTCTTTGCTCCGTTACCATCTCCGTTATTATCAATTAGCAATTTAAACTAGCAGAAAAAGAGAAACGAATTTATCGCTCGGCATCCATGTATCTGCAGGATAATTATCTATAATGCTTGGAAAAATCTCCGCATATACAGTTGTCCTTGATGTTATCTCAGTTTGACAGATGTAATACTAATAGGCATTCGAATCGCGTTTGAGTAACGAATGAAAAAAAAAGGGAAGAAGGTTTTTTTTATGGAAGAATCGAGCCTCTACTGTGGAATCGATCGTGTCACGCATCGTATCGCGGCGATAATGACCGTTCGGCATCCGGATAGGGTAACGTAATGCGCTTAACCGGGAGAAGACGACGGGTATATCGAGGTAGTTCGATAGTTCGCGCTAACAGCATTTGACCCCGGGGCCGAGGCTTGTTCCCCGGGTTTTGCCGGAGAGAACGCTAACAATGCCTTATGTCGGCGTTTCGCTACTCGTGTCACGCGCGTACGCGCGTGAGTTACTCGACGGCGCGGCGCGGCGCGGCGGCGCGGGCGGTATACGTACGTGTTCCTCGTTCCTGGAGTTTCCGCTATAATCCGATCATCTTCCCGGCACCCACTCTCGCCGCGAGAATCCACGAGAATCCATTGTCGTCCGTAGAATGGCACGCGGCGGGATTTGGTACCGTCGCAAACGATACAAACGATCTAATTTCGCCGTCGTGATGAGGAGGAGGGGGATGAACCCGGGGGAAACGTCTCGTCTGCAAACATTGCTCGAGTTTGACTTGAAGCGCCTGCACACGGGAGGGACGCGCTCTCTCCTTCGCCGAATCCTTTTTCGGATATATATTTCTTTCTCGCCTCGAGTCGTTACAATTCCGCGGTTTACTATAATCCCGCGTGACGCGCGCGCACATACACATATATTGCACATACAGTACAAACACACACGTACGAGTGAATGGAGAACTTAAAGCGCGCCGCTCGTCGTAAGTCATCTCGAGGCGAGGAAGCGAGAAACGACGGGGGAACGATAAGAGGAGGGGACGGGGGGGGGGGGAGAAGTGTCCCCGAAAATCGTGAAACCCACGCGGCAACAGTCGCGCAGTCTCTCTCTCCGAGGTGGGTTAATATATTTTATCTACTGACCGGGAATACACATCCTGCCGAGGTGCGGGCTTTTATACACCGCGCACCGGTATTTATGTGTCGCCGCCTTGCCTAAGCGTTTGATATATGAACTATGAAAGGGGGAGAAGGAATGATATAGGAGTTGGAGCAAGGACGGAGGAGGACGGAGGCCCGCTCGTCTGCCTCGCCTCGCGATATATGTTCTTTTGACAATGAGAGGAGGAAAAGGCCCGTAGAGGAGAGAGTGAAATATGTTTACCTACTACTCTCGCGGAGGAAAAAAGTCACGTTGCCAAACTCCCGCTGCCTCCTTCTCCCTCATTTTTAACTGTAAATTTCTGCGAGCGTTTCCCGTTGTTGTATATATACTGCGAATGTCTCAAGAAAATATCCCGGGAAGGACAAATCTTCGTGCCTCTCATGACGAGCGTTAAGGTGGAGGCATAATTTAAGAGACGAAGGATGATGCTCCTTTAAGTAGGCATCGCGGAAACTAAGGGGAGGAAAGAGAGAGAGAGAGAGAGAGGGAGGGAGAGAGGGAGAAACCGAAGCAGCGAGAGGGCGGTTGCTTGATTGGGTTAGCACTTAGCGCCGTGATTGCCGTTTGTGACTCCTTTGCCATTTCGCTTCCAAGTACCCTCCGCTCGAGATTGCGAATCAGGGAGAGGAGCTGGGCAGACAGCCCCGATTATTCTCGTGTCTTTTTCTCGTTGCGAGTTTCGGAAATTTTCCGTTTCCTTGGGCAAGCCAACTTAAATTCGCGCGTCGCGTCTCTCTCTCACGCGAGATTTTCATCGATCCTCCCCCGCGACAGCTTTCTTCCGTCGCGACTGTAAAGAGAAGAGGAAACGCACGCGCGCGGCCCTTTCCCT